AAAACCAGTTCACAGGATGGAGACACATGGTCAGCACTCAGAGGTGGAGAGTGGCTATAATCAGTGGGACCGTGTCCACCTCCCACATGACCACCCTAAAGAGAGGCGTTGGGGTCTTCATCCTTGAGCCTCCAGCCTTAGCGCCAACAAACTTGTCCGCAGCAGGTGCTCAGTCTTTGTTTCACTGGACTGAACATGAGCCACATCATCAGAGAGGTAGCGGCAGGGAGGGGCTAGAAGTGGAGAGTTAATTCCTCATTGAGGAAATAACTTTAAATAAATACACATTCGTATTTACATATGGATTTCCAGGGCGGGGATGGGGGAGGTAGAAATGAGGCTGGCTACTGAAATATGGGTGTGATTTTGCCAGGAAGTCACCAAGTATGGCGGCGGGGCAGGGCTGGTCCATGGGCTTCGGGTCTGGGGACACCCAAGAAGCTGTCCGAGCGACCAGCAGCAGCAGGAACACCAAACTCCTGGGTGACGGGGAAGCGGAGCTTGCCCGGGGTTACAAGGGAGAAGCAACAAGCAGAGCCTGCAGTGTGTACCTTGGTGCTCAGGCGGGTCCCGGGTGCAAAGCTGTCACATGGGTGCAGAGGGCCCGGGTCCACGGCCACCTCCCACCTCCTCACACTCCCCAATGTGGCCACACGGCTGTGTGGGGATCATGTGCGATGGTCACACAGAAGCACGAGGCAACTGTCCTTCCCCCTTGGCTAAGAGCATTCGCTCCCTCAGGCGCCTAATGTATGCGGGCACCCTGCTGTGAACCAGAGCAGAGCAGAAAAGGGCACTGGCCCTGTGGAGCTGTGTTCTAGTGTGGGAGACCACCAACAGGCAAATCGGCAATCACATCTATTTAGGCACAATGGTGTCCATGATGGTAAGTTTCTGCAGGAAACTAAAGGCGGGGAGTGACGAGCTGAAAGGCTGGGGACAAGGTCACTACCTTCGATGGGCCACCAGGGAAGCTGGCGTTTGAACACAGGTCTGAAAGGGAAAGGGAGGAAGTAAGCCGTGCAGGACCTGGAGAAGAGCATTTCAGGTGGGAATGGACTGGTCCATCCAAGGGGAGGTGAGCAGGAACTGGGGCTGGCAAGGGTGACCAGGGGACGTGGACAGAGCCCACAGGGCGAGGTGAGGGGTGCAGGCTGGTGCCAACCACAAGGGAAGAGGGGTTTGAAGCAGGGATCATTGTGCACTCTCTCCTGGGGGGCTGGAGGCGAGAGCTGGGCACTTCAAGCGGTGGCTGGAGGCCAGGGGGGCAAGGCTTGCATAGGACGACAGCCGTACTCGTGGCAAGGAGGGACTGAGCATGTGACACATCCAGGCAGAGGCCGGAGCCAGCAGCACTGGCTGGCACTCAGCATGGGTGTGACCAGGAGAGAGGTCCCTGAGGTCTCAGGTTGGGGTTGGAGTCACCAGCCTGTGTGGCTGCCTTCTCTCATAAAGTTTGCCATGAGTCAGGCGCATATCTGACTTGTGTGGGACACCAGATAATGCTTGTCCCCTCCCCCAAGGAAATGAACAACAACACACGCAGCCATGGGTGTTGCCTGCCTAACCACCTTTGGCCCACAAGGGCAGGACGCAGCAGCAGGACAGGTGCCTGGCGGACACACGGCTGAGCCCTGAGACACACGCATCCTGCAGGGCTGGCGACACCAGAGCCTGAGTTAACGCAGCTCGGCTGGACAAGAGTCTGCAGATTCCCCTGCAGACCAGGGGCCTGGTCAGGACCTGGCAGAGGAGCTGTGGCCGCCGGTGCCCCTAGGCACACACAGCCTGTGCCTGAGTCCTAAGCCATGGCAGTGGCAGAGGGCATCCCAGCCTTCTCCTGCAACATCTGAGCATAGGGACTTCGTTCTCTCTTCATAAGTGAAAGCCAGTCAGGGTTGACTTCCGTTCCCAGGCAGAGCCATCACAGGTCACCAGGTACCTGACACAGAAGACAGCCCCAAACCCTCATCAGTGGGGACACAGACCGTGATGACAGGACACGACAGGTGCCCACGGCTCGGCACTTTGTCTCACTAATGCTGTCTGATATTCGGCCCCTTTCATTCATCAACAGCTGAAAAGAGAACAAGCCATGAGCGGGGCCCCTCCTCCCACAGCCAACACCCAGAGCAAAGGTGGCAGCGCCACTGTCCCCAGGCAGCTCCTGTGCCTTCTGCTTTGACAGGGAGAGGCAACGCTCTGCTTTTTGGTCAACAAATCACAGCTACTGGAACACAGCTGGCTTGAAGGGTACACGGAGCTCCCCTTGAGTTTGGTTTCAAAGAATTTTAATTCTTTGAAAGGGTTTTCCTCTGTGATACGATTTGATTAGGCTGGTTCTCGTGCCAAAGGCAAAGCATTGAGCAGGTAGGAGGGAAAACCTCCCGGTGCCTGTCCGAGCCTCGTGCACAGGGGAAGGAATAGCAAAGGAAAGAAAAGATGCTCCCCTTGTGAAGGGCCTGCTCGGGTGCCCTAAGCAGAGACCATTCATAAATGATTGCATTTGGAAACTTGCACCTTGCAATTCAGCTATTCTTCATTGAGAAAAATATGATTCACCTAACTTGAAATGGAATCATTAAGTCCTGACAAAGACGGAGGCAAAGCAAAACCATGGCTGTGTGTGCCCCATACCTCCCTCTGCTCAGCAAATTAGGTGTCCCCGTGGAAGGCATCCTGGAGGGATGTGCGCAGGGGTTCTGCCTGGAGGAGGGCTGCACACTGACTGTGAAAATGCATCCAGCTCACCTTATTTATTACCCACCCCACTCCGTCCGAATGGGTGCACACACAGAGAGAGAACCTGCCTCCTTCTAGCTTCTAGATGTCTCTGCACCGGGAGCACCACACAAACAGAGAAGAGGCCAAATGTGGGATAAAATTGTGCAGAACCACACACACACACACACACACACACACACACGACAGACATATATACACACACATACACATATGAATACACATAAAATCTAGTAGTAGCTGGGTCTGGTAGCATATGCCTATAATTCTAGCACTCTGGAGGCTGAGACAGGAGGATCAAAAGGTCAAGCTCAGGTTGGGCAATTTAGTGACTTAGCAAGACTGTCTCAAAATTAAATAAAGCAAGGACTGGGGATGGAGTCCCGTACAAAGGCTCTGGGTTCAATAGCCAGCATCACCCCTTTTCTACAAACCCGGTAAAATATGAATTCTGTCTAGAGTTAGTGGTATTAGATCACTGATAGTTCCCTGATTTTGATACTGTGTTGTAGTTACAGAAGATGCCAGCGAGAGAATCCAGATGACGATATATCCCTCTATGGGCTTTGTCACCTCCCAGGGCTTTATCATTATTTCAATATAAAGAGTTTCTAAAATGTTGAATGTGCTGGGGCAATGGCCGTGGTTGGGACCAATGGAAACTGGTGGTTTCAGCTTTCATTACATGCAGCCACTCTACATAGACATCATTTCCCCGGAAATCAGGGCCAGAGGTGACAGGGAGCCAAGCCCTTGCAGAAGAGCACAGAGCAAGAGTCATCGAGTCCTGCTGAAGTCTGCTGCCCAGCCACAGTCAGGACAGGATCCAAGTCCCACCCGCTGTGTCCCTGGGACAGAGGCTTGGCTGTCAGGGTGCATCAGAGTGGGTTTAAAATGCTGACCCCTTCATCCTAAGTAGATGGAGGCCTTGGTCTTTGTTTTTTTTGTTGTTGTTGTTTTTTTGTTTGTTTGTTTGTTTTCTTTTTTGGCACCAGGAATTGAACTCAGGACCTTGTGCTTACCAGGCAGGCGCTTGTGCCACTGAGCTATATCCCTGGCCCTGAGGCTTCGGAATTTGCACTCACACAGGAGTACTGAGTGTTTCTGTCACAGGTGCTCTTTAGGAAATGACAGATCTGGGGGTTGGGGGTCCGCCTGCCTTGAGACCAGAACAGAGAAGCAGAACTGGCAGGAGCTCAGTAGCCCCACAACCAGGTGGTCCTCATACTCTGGAACATCAGACCCCCCTCTAAGCGCACCCTTCCAGAGATCTTCAGTCCTGGTGCTTAAGGCAGGCTTTGAGGGTCGCAGGAGCCCCTTGGAGGGGTCCTGCAGACACTGTCACCACAGAGCAGTTAGTGAAAATGTGGAATTTGGGTTCTGGCATCATCACAGCCACTTTTTACTGAATGCTGATGATTTGCTAAGCAATTCTGGCTCATTCAACCCTCACCACTTTGCTCTGAGGGAATTACTTGTTATTCCATTTCATAGATAAGAAAACTGAGGCATGGAGAGTTCACAAATAACATGGACAGAAAGCGGCAGAGCAGGAGTGGAAGCCAGGCAATAGTTACCAGACAACCCTCCTGTGACACAAAGGTTCCTCCTGGGGCTTATTTCCTTGGGGATAAAACACGCTGCTTTAAAACAACAGAAACTTCAAGCTGGGTGTGGTGGCACACCCCTGCGATCCCAGCATTCTGGGAAACTGAGGCAGGAGGATCCCAAGTTCAAGCTCAGCCTCCTGCAATTTAGGGAGAGCCTATCTCAAAATAGAAAATTAAACAAGGGTTAGGGATGTAGCTCAGTGCAAAGGTCCTGGGTTCAATCCCCAGTACTGCAATAGTAACACAAGAAACTCAGGATCGGGGTGGGGGAAGCAGGAACAGCAAGAAGCTCTTCCCAGTCTCGGGAAGATGTCAAAAGCCCTACTGGAGGGTTGGAGAAGATTGGAGGACTCCCGGTGTGAATGCTTCCTCCAACTTATCGCAGATCTGGGCCTTTCAAAGGCTCCCAGCACCTCCCCTTTGTCCCTCCCTCGCTTTCCCCTTCCATTCTCTTCTTGCCCGATGTCTCCCCTCCCTTCCCGTTTCTCCTTCTGCCCCCGAAGACCAACATTACAGACTCCAGACTCCCTGTGTGTTCCTTGCCCCGCACCCCCGCTGCTAATCCAAGCATCACCTCCTGCCTCCCCGTGACGACAGCAGCTACCTGAAGCAATGAGGATGTGGTTCCTACCACGGCCGACAACCTACCGTTCTCCAGAGGACACTGTGGAATCCTGTGTGCCCAAAGCTTCCAAACATAGCCCATGTTCCAACCAAGGCACACCTGATGATCTTTGAAAGGGCGCTGGAACGGTGGGACCGTCTTCAGCAGAGTGTAGTTCTTCGCCACGGTGTGCGGCAAGTTCTCCTCCCATTTAACATTCAAGTCTGTGCCTCCGTATCTGTGAGTAATCCAGGCTCGTAGTATCACTGCAGACACGGAAATGGAGTGTCTGATGAAATAGTCGTCTCTGTAAACCATAATGCTTGGAAATTTCACATGTACTATTTGGGTCCTGCTGGTGTGAAGATGCTTCTCGTTTTTCCACCTTTTTTTGTACACAGGGATGCTGCTTCTGAAGTCGGATGAAACGACCGCTTCCAAATTGACAACACAAGGCTGGGAGCATAAATACTCAACCGCGACTTCAGACACGTTGCGGACATTTCCTTCAAGAACAGTAAAATAAATAAAGTCTTCGTAAGCCATGCTCTGCTCTGCTCGGGGCATCACTGATGTCGTCAGGGAGGTCTGCCTACCCAAAGACGGTACAAAATTCTGAAAAGGAGAAAAAATATATGAGGAAATACAGAAAAAACATCATATGAACACATGCATGCCTCAGTAGTTTCCTGGGGGGGAAAACACCAATCTAAATAAAGGAACGAATGTGAAAGAGAAAAGATGTCAAAAGCCCTACTGGAGGATTGGAGAAAAATCAACACATACACACACACACACACACACACACACACACAGGAAGATTAGGCCACACTAAACTCCCTCCCCAGGCTCAGTAGCATCTGCTGATAAAATGCGACTTTCAAAGCTGGCTTCCAAAGGGGGGAGCCAGTCCACAACAAATCCAGTAGCAACTGAGACTGCCTTAAAACAAAAAGGAGACAACCCAGCTTCAGACATTTTCAGACTATCGTCTTCACTTCAAATGGTGGGCAGATACCGCCAAATCAAAGGCAAAGACAAAAGTTCAAAGGGCACCCAAGAGGGAACTGTCCCTCTACCAGGGATGCCAGCGGGGCCCCTTTTTCTCCCCTAGGTGCGAAGCCTGGATGAGCCAGGAGCACGGATGGACCAGCAGGTGGTTCTTGCTACTCCAAATCACACACAGGCAGCTTGGACCACGGACCGTGTTGTCTCTTTCACCATGAATGCTGCTATGTGCGCCAAGAAGGATCTCAGCTCCGCATTTGCTTAGCTAGTTCTTCAAACGACCGAGCCCTCCAGGAAGCTTGCTTATGAAATCAAAGCAGCATTTTGAGAGTGAGGCCCTGAAATATGGGCGCTAAGAGCTCTTCTAAATATGACTCTGTGATTCAAGTATCTAAAGCATAAAAGCAGGAAGGTTACTTTGCATCACTTCACACCCATTAGCACAGCTACTATTTAAAAAAAAAAAGAAAAAAAAGTAAAAGTTCCAAGGACATGGAGAAATTGGAACCCTTGTACACCGCTGGTGGGAATGCTGCTATGGAAAAGGTTACGGCAGTTTCTTTATAAAACGCAACATATAAAGCCACATGATCTGACCCAGCAATTCCACTTCCTGGTATATACCCCAAAGAGTTGAAAGCAAAGACTTGAGGAGGTGTTTGCACCCTCGTGTTGCTAGCAGAATTATGTACAATAGCTAAAAGCAAGTCAAGTGTCTGTCAGTGGATGAGTGGATAATAAAAGCACATGCACACGACACAATCGAGTGAAATTCTGATATATGCTGTAACGCTGATGAACTTTGCTAAGGGAAATAAGGCAGACACAGAGGAACAAGCACTGTATGATCCACTTACACCAGAGTAGTGAAATTCAGAGGCAGAAAGCCGAACAAGGGTTGCCAGGGCCCGAGGACTTGTTGTGTGTAACAGGTCCAGAGTTCCAGTGTTACCATGAAAATGTGCTAGAGACGGAAAGTGACAATGGCTGTTCAATGGGGGCAATTTACTGTCTTGGTTACTTTTCTCTCGTTGCTGAGACAAAATACCCAACGTCCAAAATGAAGGAAGGAAAGGTTTATTTAGCTTACAGTTTGTGGAGGTTTCAGTCCATACTTGGCTGGGTCCCAGGCAGAAGATAGCAAAGCAACAAGAGCAAAGGGGGGAATGGCACCCGAACAGCAAACAGCCAGAGCAAACCCAGAGGAATGGTGGCAAGCAGCTTCTTTCCCTGCCTTACTTTGTAAACAGGCTACCCCCACCTGAGGGGCGTGTAGGTCTCACACAATCTCCATGCCCTCCTCTTCTGCAGGCTCAGGATGTATACAAAGTAAGCACTCTGGCTTCCTGCTAAGTTACTTAGCCAAATCTCTAGACTCCCCAAGTTGACACAATGTATCAACCATAACATTTACTTAATGCAACTGAGCTACACATAAGATGGCTGCAATAGCCAGTTTTATGTTGTGAGTATTTCTACTTGGTGTTTAAAGAGAAAGGTCTCTAGTATCCTCCAAAGAAAGACACAGGCCTCCTTTGTTCCATTTCACTTTAGCACTGTGGAGAGCCAAGGGCAGACGAGACCTGAAGTCTGCTCTCAGGGAATCAGACCTGCATAGAGACACAGATAGTGGTAAAGACAGAATATGGTCAGAGCTTGGGTCAAATAATAAACAGTGGGGGGAGGGTTAAGACAGGCTTCGTGGAAGAAATAGCTTGTCAGGTGGGCTTTGAGGGACGAAGAGGAGATCTGCAGGGGCAAATGCAAGGGGAAAGCAGGACAAGAAGGCGGGGAAATGCAGATACACAGGACAGGAGAGCAGCTTGGTTTGACCAGGGAAAGGAGCAGGGGTGGAGACACAAACGGACAAGGCCGTGGGAGGCGGGGAAGAGAGGCAGAGTCTTGGCCTCAGAAAGCGCCGACTCCCAGCTCAGGAACTCGGACTGGACTGGCAGCAAAGCCCAATGCAGGTGTCCCTGAAAGGGAGTGGCGTTTCCCCTTTACAGCAACTGTTGTCAACTAGAAACAAAGCTAACAACCCCTTAGCAAAATGAGCAGCTTACTGATGAGTAAATTCTCACTCATTTGGAGAGAAATGTGAAGTCAGACTCTGCCAAGCTGCCGTTTTAACCCAGAGACCCACAGAGATCAAGCAGGTCACCTGTCGCATTGGCCAGAGTGTGGCCATTGCTGGACAGCAGTTGCTACATGGCCAGCCACGCAGCGGCCACCAACAGCTTAAGTGCACCTGCCCTCCAGCCCGATAATCCCACTTCTAGGTATTTATCCTACAACCGGCACTCAAATCTGCACAAAATGGGGCACAAACAGATTTCTTCACAGCTGCACTGTTTGTAAGAGCAGACGATGGGAAACTTAAATGTCCACTGAGACAGAACCGGCTAAATAAAAAACAGCACCTCCACCCCTGGAGTACTATACAACTATAAAAAGCGAATGATCTTGTACAGATAATAGAATGATCTCTAAAGAGATTTTGGGGAGAAGGTGGGGTATTTTGTTGTTTTTAAGCAGATTCAAAAATGTCATATTGGGTTACACACACACACACACAGTTTTTAAAAATTCATTTCAACACACCATTGCTTAATCACACAATATCCACATGGATAAGGATGTGGGTAAGAGGGAGGAGCTAGGGTAAGAGCGAGCTATGCATTGCACTCTATCCCTTATCTTTTGAATTTTGCAGCACATGAATATTCAAAAAGGGGGCAGAGTAACCTTCTACAAAAGTGAAAATGGAAAATGTAGTTTCCGCAAATGGCAGGAAGAGAATGGAGGGGCTGGCGATCCCTTTGGATTAGTCATGGGAAACTTGTGGGAAGAAATATGTACAGAGCGGCACAGTCTCCACTGTCCGCCCCCACAGCGAAATTTAATTGTTTTATGGTCTCATTTATATTGCCAGATCACAGGGAGAAAACAAACATAAAAATAATTTCATAATTAACGTGCAGAACGTTAGAGGGGATGAGCCCTGGGTGTTGCCCGGCCCACTCCTTCACTGTTGGGATGAGGACATGACAGCCGAGGGGTTCGAATCCCATGTCGCCCCACTGCAGAGCCTGCAGAGTGAACCCACAGAATTCCGGGCTGCATGCAGCTTCCACACAGAGAGAGGCACCCAGCACTGGTGCCCAAGCTGCGGTGCAGGCCTACCTTCCACTGGAGCCCAGGTGTGCTCGAACGAGGATGCAGCTGAAACCAGGCCCTTAAACACGGGACAGCTGCCCCCAAAGCCAGCCACGGCAGTGTCCATGGAAGCTGCGAGTGGGCGGCAGGGACCAGGATGCTTCCTCGCCAAATCCTACCCAAGGAGACATCTGTTTACTTTGAGAGCGCAGGGGGCACCGAGTCCAGGTCTGGCCATGGCGTACTACATATTGCATCGTGTTCTTTTCCAAAGAGTAACTTCTTCACACCTCTTCCTCACTCTCTTCTAGTCTACCATAAAACTCACCAGCCTCAATTCTCCCACCTTGGTTTTTCTCCATCACATTTGTAACGCCACAAATGCCAGTGAAAACCTTTTTTAAACAAAACCCATCTGATTTCACTAGGTTTCACTGCGAAGTGCAGTTAATAGCAATCCAGCTCATTCTTTCACATCTGATTGCTAAATACATACCAGTCACACTTTCCCGCATTAATAAGCACAGTGTGAGGGGCCTGGCTTCAGTTTTGCTTGAGGTGTCAGCTGGTGACCGTGGGGATCAGCTAGGTATACACACACCTCACCTGCACCTTGCCATGCCCTCCAAATTTAGCTTTAAAGAAAATCTCTGTATCCTCCTATGAAGTTTATTTTATTTTCACCTGGCTCAAGGTCTCAAGCACAGCAAAAATAAACCAAATGAACACCAGTTCTAGACAAGTGTGACCCAACACGGTGGTCACAAGGCAGATTAAGCACTTGTACTGGGGCTGGGCCTAACTCTAAGCATAAATGACACAGTAGATTTCAAAGCCTTGGTATGAAAGAAAAAACGTCTGTGAAATACCTCATTAATAATTTTGATACTGATAACATGCTAAAAAATAACATTTGGACACGTCAAGTTAAATAAACCCTCAAAGTAGCTGTTTACTTTTTTAATGTGGCAACTACTGAATATAAAATCATGTATGTGGCTTAAATTGTCTACTGGATGGCACTATTCTACATTTAAGATCAATAGATTTTCCCTGTGAAAAATGGCCAGGTGTACATACAGTCATGCCTTGGTATGCACGGGACATTATTCCCAGAGCCCCCAAGGATACCAAAATTCACAGATGTGCAAATCCCATCTATAAAACAGCATCGTATTTGCACAAAACCTATGCGTCTCCACCTGTATACTTTAAATCATCTGGAGCTGACTTACAATTCCTAATACAATGTGAATGCTACGTCCGTAGTTGTTATATAGTGTTGTTTAGAGAATAAGAAAAAGTCTGAACATGTTCAGTACAGATCCAATTTGTGTGTGTTGGCGGGGGAGAGGGGAGGGTCCTAGATTGAATCTGGGGATGCAGAAGCTACCAGGATGGAAGGCCAACTTATTTCACAGGTGTTTCAGGCCACTAAGTATCGGTCTCAG